GGGGGGGGGCTATCTCTGTTTGTGTGTTATGGATCAGAAGGTGTCAAAAGCACAAAAAGGTTTCGGATGGTGAAAAACAGAAAGCAAATAATAGAATTCAGAGTACCGGGCAGTCACGCTCACATGTAAAATGGCTGTCGTTCCTCAAACTAAGCATTCACACACAGGCGACATTATTCGGTACACCTGCACCGATTTATCCATGCATTCGTTACCCGAACCGCTTATTCTGACGAAGGTCACGTGTGTGCTTGAGCCTATCCAAGCTGTCTTCAGGCAGTAGTCGGGGTACATACTGAAACCTGATTGGTTAAAGAAACAATCTCATTGCCAATATATTGTAGTTTAAGTTACAACCGCCAGCACTACCTAAAGACCCGGAACATATTATAATGACACGTAAACACATAGAGAAAAATCTGATTGAAAAAAAAAAAAAAAACAAGAAATTTTCTCTCTCTCTCTCGTGTGCGTGTGTGTGTGTGTGTGTGTGTGTGTGTGTTGTAGAGCTTCATTTTGAACAAGGGCAAAGCCATTGTCTGTAGATGAATGGCAGTCCAGTTTTGAGAAAACATCATTTCAAAACTGCAGTAAACAGCGCATGTAACGGGGTCCTATTACAGCCCGTAGCAACCATGATTTTCATCAGATGAACTATTTGCTATTCCATTTGTCCTCATGAGCGTGGAAGGTGTACTGGAGCCTATCCCAGCTCACGTTGGGCACGATTCGGGAACAATCTAGACAGGTTGCCAGCCAAACGGCAGGCACATAACATATGGAAAAACAGTACTTATCTGGAAAAAACAATGATTCATGCTCACATTCACATCAATGGACAATTTAGATTCAATGAACTTAACACGCATACACAGTGCCGCCTTTCTTCACATAAATTCCAGGTAAAAATAAAAGATTACATATGCCAAGTAAAAGTAAGCCACCGTTGGCTCGAGAAATACGCGTTATATAAGCCCCCCCAAAAAACATTTGCTTTAACACCAATAAGCAGCATTTGCTATGGCCATAAAAACTGTAAATGGAAGTGTGCATATTTAATGTAAAATTATCTGCATAAAACCTAGCAACGTACAGTGTGTATTCCCCATATGATCACAAGAGGAAAATCTTGTATAATCTCAATAATGAAATCCTGCATCACCAAATCTCAAAGGATGTTGATTAAACCCGTGAATGTAGATGCTACATTAAATTCATCCTCATCACGCAAAACAAACGCAACACTTTTTGTTCCAAGCGCACGTCTCACCTAGAGTGCAGTCTCACAGGAGACATTTTCATTTTGGCATTTTGGTAGATGGGCACTGTGAGAAATGGGCGTGTGCGACATTGTGGGAGTGAACTTTGATTCCCGGCCCATCAAAGCGGCTCACCCTTCCTTGAAATTCGGTGCAGGTGAGGCACACGGTCCACATTGAGCAAATAATACAGTATACTGTCATTGTCTAACTATTTGAGGAAAGAAAGCACGGGTCTTCTCTCAAATGGACAGCTCTTTCAAATAAATACTTTACATGCTTTCTACATTTGGATAAATCCAAGCCTCCTGACACTAATTCAGGAAATTATTGGGAAGCTCGTCTCTCAAATTGACGCTTCTGTCAAATAAACATTTGGTATTTTCTGTCGTTGGCTAAATGAATGCCTGCCGCCATTTGTGACAATAAAAGAAACGCCTCCCCTCAATGAATGCCATAAATAAAGAAACACTTCCTCCGCAGTGGGGTAAATAAAAGCCCCCTGGCAACTATTCGAGCAAGTACAGCAAAGGCCGTCTTTCCTATGAATGCCTCCTTCAGATAAACCTGATACTCTCTGCAATTGAGTAGATAAAAGCCCCTTTGGAACCATTTGAGAAATATAGTACAGGCCTCATCTCCAATGAGCAACTCATCAAATAATATCTAATGTGCTCTCTGTGTTTAAAAAAAAAAAAAAAAGACCCTGGTGACTAATTGAGGAAATACTATCAATGCCTCCACTTACTTGGATACTTTATTCAAATAAACGCCTGGTACTCTCTGCAGTTGAGTAAATACAAGCCCCTGGCAACTATTTCAGGAAATACAGCGTCGGCCTCCTCTCTAATGTATGCCTCCTTCAAATAAACATGCCATACAATCTGCAGTTCAGTAAATCAAAGCCCCCGGCTCGTGTATGCGGAAATATAATGAAAGTTTTCACTCAAATTGACACCTCAGTCAAATAAACACCTCATGCTTGCTCCAGTTGAGTAAACATAAGCCCCGAGCAACTACTTGAGGAAATACATTATAAATGGTCACTTCCTTGAAATAAATGTCTGTTATCATCTTTGGGTTTATATAAATCAAAGCTCTTGCACACCGTTTAAGGAAATATAGTCAAGACGGCCTCTCAGAACGATATCTTTTCGTCAAATACCACGGTACTTACTGCGGTAGAATAAATACATGCCCTCAAACACTATTTGAGGAATCACATAGAACACCGTTGAGCTTTCAAAGTCATCATGAGGTTGCGAGCTCCTGCAAAGTGCGACCAAGAGGCTTGAGACAAGGCTTTAACTGTTTGACCAAAATGCCACCAGCCTCAAGACTATGAAACTATTGCAGATGAGAATGAATAGCTATAATTATCATATCAAGTGGCGTCACGTATTTATTCTCTCACTGGCAGAGTGCTTCTTGAAAGGAGCACCCGTTTGTCATGCAGTCCCGGGGCGCCGCGATTTCTCAAAGGTCACTCGGACACAGAGGCCGATTAGCAATTCAGATTGGGCTAAAGGGGCTAAAAGGCAGTCGTGGCACTGCCTGAGACTAATTGCGTTAGCAAAGGCTAGCGGTTGCTGATTAGATGACATGAGGAGGAAGCGGCAAAAGGCAACGTTATAGGAAAGAGACGTGTGTGTGCACGTAGCACAAGATCAGAGATGTCGCTCAAGCTATATGTAACACAAAGAGTAACACTGCAGCACCCGAGTTAAGTGCGTCCCCGTATGATTTTCTTCTGTTGAGCAAACAGTTTAAAAAAAAAAGGCCTCTCGTGGGGCCTAGTTTGCAGCACCATGGACAGCGGGAAGGCCACAAATGGAGTGAGTGGGCTCCCAAAGGGTTGTGTGCAAGACTGGAGACAATGCAAAGAGTGGCTGAGATCCGCTGCAGACCATTACAGGACAATGCACAAAATAACGTCACAAAGTGTTCGAACTGTGCAGCTGAAGCACACTGCAAGCTTGATTTCTTGAAAGGAAAGACCAAAAAATGCAAATATCCTGACATAACCACCGGTTGCTATGGCGACCGTGAACCCACCCCCTCAACTCCACTCGTGTGAGCGTGCGTGCGTGCGTGAGTGCGTGCGCGTGCCCTACCTTGCATTCCTCCATGCACGTCCGAACCGAGTACGCGTCCGTCTCGTATTTGCGCACCAAGTGCTCGAAGTCCCGGTAGTTGTCCTCCGCTTGCCGGTCAAGGAGCTGGTAAGCCCGGACGCACTCGCCGCATCCCGGCGCGTCCGCCCCCATGGCCATATCCAGGGTGCAATTCATGTCGTGTGGACTCGTAAACCCGTAAAACAAATCCAAAAGTGAGTAGGAATTACAAAAAGAAAGGTACAAATCGCTCAGGTTCACGTGCGCCAACTGCGTCCCATCTCCCCCCGCCAGGCCCAGGCACACGGTGTCCGCGTCCGTGAAAGTGAAGCAGTCTTTGGACACGCTGTCCGGGTGACAGGTGTCCATCCGCCACAGAGGTTCGGTAGAATTCCCTAGAAAAATAGCATTTTGCTCTCTGGCGTGGTAGCGGTGGTGGTGATGGGGGTCAGGCGGTGGTGAAGATGGTGATGATGGTGGTGGTGGTGGCGCCGGCGGGAGCCAGTGGAGGGAGTGAGGCTGCTCGCCCGTCTCTCTAATCCCGAGCCTCCCCGGGCCCGAGCGCCGCTTGTCCCTGGTGCGGGTGAGCGTGGCTTCGGCGCAGAACCACAGGTGATCCGAGAGCAGGACGGTGATGAAGAGCAGTGAGGCCAGCGACAGTCGCCATCTCTGGGCCCGCTCCGACTCGGTGGATGGCTTCTCGGTCCCTCGGGGTGCGAACCAGTATTTTACGCCTTCGTCATGCTGTCGACGCATCCAAGCACCCCTGGTCATATTTTAGGAGAGTGCTGCCCTGGCCGACTCCACCGCGGGGGCTGCTCTGTCTCAATACTCATTGACTTAGGCGGACTCGGCTCGGTTCTCCGCAGGGTGCCGTTGCCTCCGCCGGTGCAGGGCGCTGCTCGATGGGCGCCCGCAGCAATCGGTTCTATTCCGGTCCAATAAACCCACCCGCGCGGATTAAGCTTGCCGCAACCTCCGTGGCTCCCCGCGGGGGGACGGCGTCCTCTTTGACCGCATGCCGCGTCCGTCCGTCCGTCCCTAACTTCCGTCCTTCCTTTCTTCCTTCCTTTCTTTCTTTCTTCCCCGGGTGTGCTCCCTTCGTTTCTCTCTTCGCCTTTGATGATGTTTCTGCTTCTACTGCTGCTGCTGCTGCTGCTGCTGCTGGGGCGTCTGCCGCAGATAGTGCACTCTCTCACTGAAGTGAAGCGGCCGGCCCGCACTGGCCAGTCTCGTCGCTGCCTGGAAGCCGAGCGTGAATCCTTGAATCCCGTCTCCGGCTGGCCGTTGTCATCTTGGAGCGCGCCTAAGTTGCCGCCATGTTCGCCTGGAATCACTTTTTCGGAGAACACAGGCTGTTTGCGTCATCTCCATCGCTGCGAGAGCTCCATCGTTGCGCAGTGGCCGAGCAGCTTATCGCCTATATGCACACGCAGGGGGGAGAGGGAGAGAGGGGGAGGTGAAGGAGAGGGGCACGGTGAGGGAGGGAAGGAAGGAAGGAAGGAGGGAGGGTGAGTACACAGGTACGCATTTAAAAGGACGTTTTCACAAATATTTGCCTTGCACGTTTGTTTTGATGCCGGGGGAGTCAAGAGTCCACGCATTCAATGAAGGCTTGGTGATTGGGCAAACACTCTGCATCATTCCGTTAATTGCATGGAATAAGCTGAGTCGATTTTTCCCTCCAACCGCATGAATGGCCTTGTGCATGTTTTCAAAACAGTTGTGCCTGCAGTATTTGCAGACGATCATCGAATAGTTAACCCTTGAAGCATAATCGATGAGAGTCTGATCAAAAACCAGGAAACAAAATGCCATACTTTTTGAAAGGTACCCATGCTTTGCAGTTTGAAGTGGAAGTGCGTGGTCCTTGTAGCAGATGCAAACACAACAAGTGGCTTTTGGCTTGATCGTCCAGTAACAATTTATTGTCGACAATATGCACATTGTCTACAATAGAGTCATATTAAATAGTAAAAGTGTTCCACTGGAGGGTACCATCCTTATGGTGAAAGTTTACCTGAAGGTACAAAAACTGTATGTGCTATATTGCAGACATCTTTGTCCTCCTCCCCCGCCAGAAATCATCTATACTCTCAACCTCGAGAGAACCGATTCGGGAAGGTCATTTTCTATTCTATAAGGTTCATAAACGCATGCTTTGATGAGCATATTATGACACTCACTTTCCAATGAATTAGAACGGAGATTCTGAGCTGCACTTCTAAGCTCAACCAACTAAAAAAAAATTCTATCAAACAACACTTCCATAAAGTAACAGAAAAAAGGGAGGTTGTTGACTCCTTATTTTCACTTCCTGTCCCAAACCTTTTGTCCTATTGGTATAAAATGTTTTGGATGATTATTCTTCTGAGGGCCAAAAGTCAAATGACTGTATTCATATAGGCATCAGAGTGTCCCTGTTGCTGTTAATGAATGAACAAAACATTTGCAGTATGTTAAACTGCTACACAAACACACTAACAAGCAAATGGATGACAAAGTACCAACATAATCTGCCCTAGTGAGGTGTTGGCCCAGTTTAGCGCGAGCTGGCTGCGTCTGCTTCTGTGCACCTTGGCAAGGAGTCTACGTCTGGAACTCCTCTGGTGGGATGAACATCAGTCTTCCAAAAGAGATCCCCTCAATTTGTGTTTTTGTGGAGAAGGCTGGCACGGATGACTAACTCAGCGTCGATCCAAAAATCTGTGTTAGGATGCAGCTTAGAAGCTGAATTTTATTGAGTAGGACTCAAAATACTTTCAAATGAGCGAATCTACTGAATGTAGACACCATATGAAAGAATTCAAAATTTTCATTGATACAGTCAGCAAGGTAACCATTTTTATTGATGTCTACTATTTTGGTCGTTGTTGGCAGCAGTGTTGAAGTGCATTGCATCCTTTGAAATTTTTTAAAATATTTTGGTTATCTTATGTAAATGACCCTACGGCACAATGCAACCACAATACACGTAATGAGCTTTATTGGATTATACGTGTACTGTTAGCATATAGTGGAACCGGCAATTAAGGACCAAGTGACTGAGCCCGACCACGAATAGCGAATTTCAGTCAAATAATTGAAATGATAAAATAATTATTGATGGCCACCGACAAACGGATTTGTCAAGTGTAAGTTTCAACAACTGAGCATGCAAAAGGGGCTCGCTCATCTTGTTTACGAAATTCAGTAAAACTACAGGAATGAAATGGAGCCTTGTATATGGCAGCGTTGCATTGCTTTGGATGAAATATCAGAACAGCTTTTTAGTTGAAGATAAAGATTAGGGGGTGAATCTTGCCACGTCAACTTTGAGAGAAAGAAATGCCAACATGGAACTCTAACAAGTTAAGCAACATTACGCTCGAAGTGGGTATGTGTATGGATGGTATAAAAAGAGCATGAGTAGTGGTAAGTCGCAGATCGTGTGTGTCATAATCGTGAGAAAAGTGAAGATGGAGAGCGGCATGTAAAAAAAGCCACATGTGAGCCATGCGGTGAGTCAGCGTTGCTCACGGTGTGTTTCTTCGTCATATATCTGTAAATAAATCCTTATTTTTACGTAAAAAGCCCTATCTCAGTCTTTTTCATGTCATTTTATAATTTGTAAAAAAGTTAAAAAAAAAAAAAAAATTAAAATTGGAGCGACAATTGCACAGTTCTGGCTGAGCTTGTTCTTTTCCACCTTTTGGCCAGAAATGTTTGAGGTGTTCCACTGTTGCTCATTAAAAAAATGTAAAAAGCTAGAAACATTTTTCCCCCAGTGAAAGAACAGTCTCATCTTTTTGCGGGTAGGTCCAGTGCTTATATTGAAACAATATCCCGCAAATCTCAAAAGATCAGTCAAAATGCTCTACAGCTGCCGACGTGGGGGGAACTCTGCTTTGAAAACGGCTGGCAGTGAATATTTTAATACTTTACACCACAAACTACGATCTCAACCCTTGAGTGGTGTTTGAAATGCTTACGTCTTCAAACGCTTCACGTTACAGTAAACGCGTATCCTGAAGCACACTCTTTTAGTCTTGTAATGGCACCCTGCTTGGCGCATGTGTTGATGACGTCTTTGTTTGTTGTTTTTCCTCCAGCTATTACATATATCTAGGTACAGTTAGGTGTTTGTACTCTCATCTCGTGTCTAAAGGGGTTCAATAAGACGACAAGGCTATCCCACCATTGAAAGTTTATATACACAACACGAGGCAACGTGAGACTTTGGCTCCATTAGGCAACATCCTGCAGCTGGTAAATTTGGGTTTTCAAAATAAAAGCACTGCAGTATCGCACCACACATCCAAAGATAACATACGAGACAAACATGTGCTTTTTGACATGGGAAAAGCTCACCATGTTTACTCAGACATGCCGGACTATAGCTTTCTGCTATCAGTACTTTGGCGTATTTTTGGTGAACCTTTTAGCCTCCCATGAGCAGGTTTAGCACTTCTGACGACATGCCGCTAAAGCACCAAGCCCAAGTGTATGAACTAGCTGTCACCTGACGTAGCAAAGGAGGTGGAGACGTGAGCTATGTGCTAAGCTAAAGACTATATATGGACCACGAGTAACACGCCAGACTCAGCCATCCGGCATACAAAATGTGTGTGCAAACGGTCAGGTTATGGAGAAGCACAGCTCAATGGACATTGAAGTGCAGAGTGTAAAGTACAGCCCTCTTGATTGACAATTGTCGTGTTCATGCTGGATGGTAAATCCCACACCACGCCGGCAAGACGAGCTCTAGTTCATGACTTAGATAAACCCGAGATTGTGCACAAAGATGCGATTCAAAAATCACAAGTAGGTGAATTTGTCATGAATATGTAGACCCATTTTTCAGAAAAGTTGATAACAATATCCCGCAAATCTCAAAAGATCAGTCAAAATGCTCTACAGCTGCCGACGTGGGGGGAACTCTGCTTTGAAAACGGCTGGCAGTGAATATTTTAATACTTTACACCACAAACTACGATCTCAACCCTTGAGTGGTGTTTGAAATGCTTACGTCTTCAAACGCTTCACGTTACAGTAAACGCGTATCCTGAAGCACACTCTTTTAGTCTTGTAATGGCACCCTGCTTGGCGCATGTGTTGATGACGTCTTTGTTTGTTGTTTTTCCTCCAGCTATTACGTATATCTAGGTACAGTTAGGTGTTTGTACTCTCATCTCGTGTCTAAAGGGGTTCAATAAGACGACAAGGCTATCCCACCATTGAAAGTTTATATACACAACACGAGGCAACGTGAGACTTTGGCTCCATTAGGCAACATCCTGCAGCTGGTAAATTTGGGTTTTCAAAATAAAAGCACTGCAGTATCGCACCACACATCCAAAGATAACATACGAGACAAACATGTGCTTTTTGACATGGGAAAAGCTCACCATGTTTACTCAGACATGCCGGACTATAGCTTTCTGCTATCAGTACTTTGGCGTATTTTTGGTGAACCTTTTAGCCTCCCATGAGCAGTTTTAGCACTTCTGACGACATGCCGCTAAAGCACCAAGCCCAAGTGTATGAACTAGCTGTCACCTGACGTAGCAAAGGAGGTGGAGACGTGAGCTATGTGCTAAGCTAAAGACTATATATGGACCACGAGTAACACGCCAGACTCAGCCATCCGGCATACAAAATGTGTGTGCAAACGGTCAGGTTATGGAGAAGCACAGCTTGATGGACATTGAAGTGCAGAGTGTAAAGTACAGCCCTCTTGATTGACAATTGTCGTGTTCATGCTGGATGGTAAATCCCACACCACGCCGGCAAGACGAGCTCTAGTTCATGACTTAGATAAACCCGAGATTGTGCACAAAGATGCGATTCAAAAATCACAAGTAGGTGAATTTGTCATGAATATGTAGACCCATTTTTCAGAAAAGTTGATTTTTTTTTTTTGCTTACCTTCTTTTTTTATCAGTTCTTATATCAAAGTAAAAGTGTCAACAGAACAACCTTTTAACCATTTTAATACATTTTGAAGTGAGGCATAAGACGTTCATTTCTTAAAGGCACATGACCACGTATTTTAAACTCATCCAAAAAGCAGTGCGTCAGGCAGGCTTGTCTTACCTGTACATCCTGTGATCTGGAGGGATGGTTTAGATGTCAGCCAAGACTCCACTCAGTGGAGGGAATGGGACGCTTTTCAGTGGACCAGATGTTGATGGCAGAGGTCAGGAAGGGGGCAGCGCTTGTTTTGAAGTGCACTAATCATCATTTTCATAGACAGGTTTGGCATCATGCCTCTCCATGGGAACATTTGATTGAAGACTGAAGATGATCCTTTGAAAACAAAGTTCTTCTGATGAGCGAGCCAACCGAGGACAACAAACATCCGAGCTTGAAGCACTGAACGGCACACCAAACATGTGTAAATGTATGTCGAAAAGAAGACTCACCTGATAGAGTGCAGTGGCTTTGTCGCTTGCACAGCTGAACCGTCAAAACGCGTGCTCGCCTTGTAACGAGGAAGTTTATGGACTGGTTATATCTCGCATTGACATTCCCAGTCACCCGTTACACATCACATGAACGCACAAGCTTTGAAGTCAACCCATGTAAGAGAGACAGCCATTCACGGACCAATAATTTTCCCACATATCTCAATCCACACAAAAGCTCCTTTTGGGGTCAACAAATTTCACATTGGACATATTTTATCAATCGCTTGAGTTGCCGGAGCACACCGACTTCATGTGTTTGTAGTGGTTGTTGGAAGACAAGATGGGATTAGAACAAGATAAGATCATATTTGTCCTAAAGTGAGGACATTCCTCCATCCACTTACCATTTGCAAAGCACTTGTCTTTGTAAAGTCTCAAGTGAGGAGGAGCATATGGCGGCTGACACCTGGGGGCTGATTGCCAGCCAATCGCGCGGTAGGTATAAACAAACAGTCACTTACACCTGTTGGCTGACACCTGGGGGCTGATTGCCAGCCAATCGCGTCATTTACACCTGTGGACAATTTAGAGGCTTCAGTGAGCCATTCTGGAGGTTTTTGGAGTATGTGGGTAACATCCACGCAAGTACAAGGAGAACATGCAAACACACGAAAGGCCACGGCAGATATTGTAACCTTTGACTGAATCACTGCGATGAATAACTGTGAATGAAGGGTTGATTTCTTCGTGAATATTTTGCTTTTTCATTTCCATTTTTTTGCAACACAGAGTCGTCTCAGCAAAGAACTGGAGTAGAACATTATGGTGCAAAATAATTACTTAAACTTTGAACGCTTACAACCTCCACTGAGTCTTTTTATTCCTTCCATCTATTTAACAGTCAAACATTTCCCCTCAACCTTTAAATCTTGCTGCTAAGCTCACAGGAAAGAATTTGACCTTGGCAGAGGTCTACCGCTGTCTTATTTCGGCATTCACAGTCTGCTAACATGTTTCTTGGTTTAACCGAAGACCCAAAACTGTCAACCGGTGTTAATCTGAGTGTGAATGGTTATTTGCCAAAATGTTCCCTGGGACTGGATGGCTGCAACTCACCTTTCAACCAAAGTGAGCTAGGAATCTCAGCTGATCGGTGGAGTGCAGAGAGTACACACTGAAATCATCACTTTGGGTGATGTCTTGCTTTCGAGATGATCACTCCATCATTCCATTCCATCATCAAGCCTCATGCACATTGATATCCAAACTCATTGAGGAGCTTCTCGTGCAGTATTTGCTAACCTTTATTCAGTCATTACCGCCGTTACAAATGTGGACACCACTATGCATAGATGTCAAAAAACGTAAACTGTGCTGACATAATGATGATCTGTTTACTTACCGGTTTCTTAGCCTGTTTCGCTGAAGACAAAGCTATCCTGTTCTATTCAAGACAAGAGGTGGATGCACAGGTTAATTGTACTTTCTGTCATCTAGTGGAAGAGCATTTAATTGTTGTGCCTGTCATCACATGTCACTGGCATGGCCACATGAATAACGACACATTATTTGTATTCCTGACCGCCAACACATGCAGTGTGTATGTGTGAGTGCGCGTGTGTTTCTAAGACAAGGCAGGTAGTTGAAGGGCCCCCCCAAAAAAAGGTAGTGGAAGGGCAACGATGTGACAAGAGGCAGAGAGAGGGAGAGAGAGAGAAAGAGAGAGAGAGAGAGAGAGAGAGAGAGAGAGAGAGAGAGAGAGAGAGAGAGAGAGAGAGAGAGAGAGCGCTAATATGTGTGCTGTGAATTCCAATTGCAGCCCATCACAGTAACTGTAAGCACTGGCAGACATGACTCATCCACTATTGATGCCGCGGGTGTGTGAGTGTGTGTATACGCCATCGAACCGCTGCTGATTGAATCATCATATTGCTCAATTATGCTTCATGCTGGACCAAAAGTTATTCGGCGTAAATACAATAAACACCATACTCAGTAGTGAAATGACCATCATTACCATAATCCTATTTTTTTTTTTTTTGCATGGGTTTTTTTTTTTTTACAGTTCATTTGTAAGAGGCATTAATGCAAACGTGTATCAAAAGCGAAATACTTAATGATTTTTAACAGTTAAAAAAAAAAATCTTTAAATTTACAATTACCTCTAGATTACTGTAATATAATCATAAAAAATGTCAAGTGATTGCATTTATCCCTAATTCGGAGCAATTACATGTTAAATTACTGAAAACTTTATTGACAGGGTACTTGCTAAAAACATTTTGACCTTGGCAGTGTTAGAACTAAATGACAAGCACATGGAAGGCAAAAAACAATTACCACAATGCAATGTCATGCAATGACACGGCTAGGCTAGGCTGTATGCTAACTAGCTTTAGCAAATGTCAATTACGCGTTAAATTACTGAAAACTTTATTGACAGGGTGCTTGGTAAAAACATTTTGACCTTGGCAGTGTTAGAACTAAATGACAAGCACATGGAAGGCAAAAAACAATTACCACAATGCAATGTCATGCAATGACAAGGCTAGGCTAGACTGTATGCTAACTTGCTTCAGCAAATGTCAATTACGCGTTAAATTACTGAAAACTTTATTGACAAGGTGCTTGCTAAAAACATTTTGGCCTTGGCAGTGTTGGAACTAAATGCCAAGCACATCGAAGGCAAAAAACAATGACCACAATGCAATGTCATGCAATGACAAGGCCATGCTAGGCTGTATGCTTACTATCTTTAGCAAATGTCAAATAAATATACAGTGGTGGTATAGGTTTCCATACAGCACAAACTTTGGAAAGGTAAACACAAAAGGACATACCTTGTTCAAAGTCCAGTTAAGTGCTAGCTAACATTTACAAAACAAACAATTGAGAACCTTTCAACAACACCTGTTTACTTCCTGTCAGTCGAGTGTATCCCTGGGAATTGTGGGAAGTAAAATGTCTGATTCAAATAAAAAAAGCCATCTTTCTGTTTTATTTGGGGCGTGGATTTTGGAGACATTTTCATGTGTCTTGTAGTGGCAGACATGTCCAGTGAATTTTGTGTTGTGGTCAGATTGGTGTTTTCAGGCTGGTTGAAAAAGTATGAAGAAAGCAATTCCATGGTTCCTCCACACCATCCCGGTGCTTGAGCGCTAATGATTGAAAACAGGATGTATTCATTAACTGAGTCTGGCATCAATGGAAGTATCCAACCCCCGGAATCCTAATTGTATTATCCACCATCCATGAGCCAGGAAGCGGCCTATTAACAAACAAATACCCCATAAACACAAATCTTACGCTTCATTGTTTTCTCTTCCACAAATCTTAACAGTTTGGCCTTGGTGGGGGTCTGCCCCCAATTTAGTAATAGTCCAGGAAGGAAAACATCATGGATTTATTTGACCTGAAAAATCGGTACTCCTCAAGACCTTCCAATCGAAGGTGTCGCTGCCATCCAAAAGACATCATTTCTTAGTCACAGACATGCACACTGATGTTGACCTTCTCATCCGTGTTTCCTCATGCATGAGCCTTCATGAAGATGGCAGTCCTGCAAGATAGCATCGAGGGGTCCTCACTGCACAGTGACAACGATGAATCTTCCTCTTTTGAGCATTATCTTAAAAATATGTGTCGCGATTGTGTATTTAGGGTAGATGGCACTGTTTTACCTTCTCTTGTTCTATTCTATTTTTTTGCTGTTTCTATTTAAGACAGAGCAGTTCTTATTGATGAGTGAGCATTTTACACGTGTGTTGTGTTGGCTGGCAACCATTCCGGGTTGTACAGTGCTTCTATAGCTCAGAGTCCAGACAAACAAGCATTCGCACTAATGGACATTTATAATGACTTTACAGTCTTCAACAGCAGATTTTTGAAGCATGCAAGGTAGCCGGAATCCCCCACTGATACCCGATGCAAGCGTGGGGAGAACGAGCAATCTTCACGCAGTAGAGCGCAAGCCAAAACTTGAACCCCAGTTCAACGGCAGGTTTTTGAAGCATGCAAGGTAGCCGAAATCCCCCACTGATAACCGATGCAAGCGTGGGGAGAACATGCAATCTTCACGCAGTAGAGCCCAAGACAAAACTTGAACCCCAAAGCTCTTGACCGCAGATGTGCAAACAATCAGTCCATTGTGCTGCACCTTTAAACTGGTTGAATTCCTAACAATCAGTCTATTTATTATCACGCTTATCGCTAATTCCTACACCGAAGCATCATATTAGTCCATTATTATTTAATCCTCCGCAAATCTTCACAAAACAACTATGATGGATTACAGTACCAACGGAGGCTCCGTAGACAACTGATTCCCAAGTGAGCAGAAATGAACCATTAAAAATGCTGCCGTGCATGTGACAAAAGCTTGTAAAATTCTGCAGCGGTGTTGCAAAATGAGTCTTAAATGATTATGATGTCCAAAAAAACAAAACAAAAAAAAGAAACAAACAAAACAAAAGAAATCTCACATGCAGAAAAATACTCCCAAGAGAAGACCCTGCCGCTGATTGCGGAGATGCACTCCCACGGTTTGCTCAGTTGGTCACTGAAATCAAGAGGGATTAGAGCAATGATCCAGATACCATCATGCGGTTCAATCAACCCACCCACCCATCACCGGCCCCACTCCGCCTCGGGTTTTAGTCTCCGGATCGATCGTCTCGCCTCATTTCCATTCCAGGAATTCCTTAGTGGCACATCGACACAGCTCACTATCTCAATGCCTTTTCCCATACCCTTGGTGCCACACGCCGCCGCGCTGTACACTTCTGTCGAACCACCTCAATCTATAATTTTCCGGAGCTTCAAAGGAAATGCGCCTGTTCGGGGAAGACAACTTTCAGAAGGAGGCGTGGAGATTTTTTGGAATATGACAATAGAGGACAGAAGATCACAAGGTTGCGTTCGGTGTTTGTGCATCACAGAATCAAGTATGGCTTTACAAATGCTTAACACCATTCAGTCGTTATGCATTTGTGTTTGTCTTCATCGCCTCTTGCCCCGATATTGCATCATTAATGGCCCAGGACTGAATCCTGATGCTCCACACACGCTTATTCATGAGGGAAGGCTCCAAAAGTACCAGCAGCGGCTCAGATGGTAATCAAAATTCGACCAGCGTAATGGAAAATAAGAGCCAAGGCATCTTTAAGCTTAAAGAAAAAGTCAGTCGGTTTTGATCTTGGAAAAACTGTAAGATAAAAGCTTTGTGTTGAGCATGATGTGTAAACCACCAATTAGCACAATTTTTCTGTCTTTTCCTAGTAAAGTGGAACCTCAACAGTAGAACCGCCCTGATTTCATACAATTCAAAATATGACAGCATATCTTTGTTTAAACGCCACCAAATCATCTTGGCAGGTGACAGCATTTTTTTTTTAATGTAGGATCATAAAACAATTAAGTTTCATGTAAAACTGTACTCGACTGAAAAGGATCTTTTCCCATCTGTCCCCATGTCAAACTTTTGCATCCCGCAGC